GAGAGAGAATCATTGATCAGCTGCCTCCTGTATGCTCCCTACCAGGGATTGAGCCCACAACCCAGGCATGTGCCAGAATTGAACCCGGGACCCCTCAGTCTGCAGGCCAATGCTCTATCCACTGAACCAAACCAGCCAGGGCGACTGTATCTATTCTGAAAGGTCACTTTTTCCTTGCCTTGAGGGATATAACATGAGTGCATCCTGTTCCTAAGGCAGTTTCAATAGAAAATATTTGAAGTATGTCCTTCCTACCAACAGAGCACATGCCCTGACTTTTATCTGGGGGAAATTTGCCACTTTTTTGAGGGGGGCCATTCCCGATGAATTTGTTCTTGCAGGGTCTCATAACGTGATGTAGAACATGACCATCCTTGGTCCCAAGTTCTTCCTCATAGGGCAGGGAGTTCATTTCTGATGACGTGTCTTAGAAAAAAAGGACCAATTGTGTTTAACAACTGCCCTTCAGGACCCCGTGATGCAAAACTTCACATTGGCTAATACAGTTGGTATTTTGTAGGTTTGCAATTGTTTGTATGGCAAATAATACAATCATTAATACACAATCTATTCTACTATGGGAATAGACTCTATTTTGCACAATCACAACTGTAAGCATACTTTTGCTCTGCCCTATATTTAAAGGAATGCAGATTTCCCAGGGGGTATGCACACTCCACAGTTAATAGAAAGACGGTCCTGTCAGGCCGGCTGGGGTGACCCGGGGAAGCTGGTGGATGGAGGCTTTGACACTAAGCTTGTACATCCAACAAGATTTACTGCTGTCTGGCCTGAGTAGAATGGAGAACTGAGGGGGTCATTTCCTCTGTGGAAAGGAGACACAGCTGGCTCTCCTGGCAGGAACCGAGCCTCACACAAACGTCAAATCCAGCACGGCCTTGGAGGAGCCCCTGGTTCAGGATCCCTCTAGTTCCAAGTGGCTCCCTCATCCAGACCCCTAGAGAAATCTTCCAACTTCCAAAACAGTGAGAAATGTCTATTGTATAAGCCACCCAATCCATGGCATTTGTGATAGCAGCCTGAGCAAACTAATACAGGCATCTAAGTCAGACAGGACCTTAGACAAGGTATTTGGTTTTACCCACAATTCTGTGGATAAATAACTGATGCCAGTGGTTGCCTCAAAGGGCAGTGAGGGGGGTAATTGTGTTGATGGATGTGAAAGATACCTGGCTTTTTCAGGCTCCCTTCTTCCCCCTCAAGTGGCCTTGGGGCTAGACTCTGGGATGCGACACCCCCTCTCAGCGATGCCTGTCCCATGCAGGCCACAGCTGACCTTATAAACCGGTAGCCCGTTGGTCAAATTCAGCCCACAGATGTGTTTTGTTTGAGGAAATGTGGATTCTTTATCAACATGTAAAAGTCAGGAAATTTCACATAAAAATCCCCACTTCCTGTTCTTCTTGAGAAATAAGATGATAAGTCTCCGGACCTGTGTTCCGCCGGGGTAATCCGTTTTGCAGGGGGTGAGCTCACCCATGTCCAAGGCCGGCTTGGCACCAGGAGGCTTCTGAGTTAGCAGCCCCGAGCTGGTGCAATCTGGCCAGGCCTCTACTTTTCCTGGCTGCCCACAAACAAAGGTCTCAGATACAATTTCAGGATCGGTCTCCCGAGGCGAGGAACAATCAGCTCATTCCTGAGTCACCATCTTTATTTACTCTCCGATTGTGAGCTGTGGAACCCCCAGGAGAGGCCTGGGCCTGAGTTCTGAGAGTCACACTGAGCTGCTCCCACACCTTGGGCTTGGCTGACCCAGCTTTGCCTCCATCCTGGGGCCTGGGTTTCCGCCTCCGCGGGAGGAGGCCCTGGGCTAGATGCTATCTGTGGACTCTCTCCATATTTATGTAATTATTATGTGAAATTCAAGCTCCTGGGTAGAAATGTAACACAAGCCTGTTTACTTCTGAGCTGGGAAGGTTTTCATGGAAGCAGGGCTCTTCAAACACCTCGTTGACCCTTAACACAGATCTTGACTTACATGTCAACAGGACCTGAATAATGGCCGTGTTTGTTGTTCTGCCCACTCCAGGGCGGGATTTTCTGCCTTGATGTCTAGTACTTAACCCAGCAGAGAGGAATGGACACCAGGACGTGAAGAGATCTGATATGGAACCTCCTGTCCCCAGGAGACCCCCATGCTCGGGGCCCTGCCCACCTCGCTGCCCTCACTTCCCACCACCACCCGACCTCCGGTACTTCACGCACAGGGCTCTCCACCCAGGTCCTTGCTCACTGCCACCACGGGACCTTTGCACCTGCAATTCCCACCGCCTGGAGCCCTCTTCACCCGGTTAATTCCCACTGATGCCTCAGCTCACAGCACCAGCATCCCAGCACCATTCCTGGCCTCCTTGGCAGGACTGGGTTAAGGCAGTAGTTGGCAAACTCATTAGTCAACAGAGCCAAATATCAACAGGACAGCGATTGAAATTTCTTTTGAGAGCCACATTTTTTAAACTTAAACTTCTTCTAACGCCACTTCTTCACAATAAATTCGCCCAGGCCGTGAAAGAGCCACACTTAAGGGGCCAAAGAGCCGCATGTGGCTCGAGAGCTGCAGTTTGCCAACAGGGTTAAGGGGACATATGCTTTCCTCACTCTGCTGTGTGGTACCAGCTGTCACAGTTGCATTTCTACATTTTACAAGCGTGACTGGCTGACTAATGATTATCTCCCTGACTGAATATAAATTCCAGAAGAGCAAAGTCCATGTCTGTCTTGGCTCATTGTTGTCTCTCTAGTCTCTGGCTAATAGGGAGGCACTCAAGTATTGGATGAGTGTATGAATGAGTAGATGAATGAATGAATGAATGAATGAAAGAAAGAAAGCTGACACTACTCTATTGGGACTCAAGTATTAGATGAATGTATGAATGGGTAGATGAATGAATGAATGAAAGAAAGCTGACACTATTCTATTGGGACTCAAGTATTTGATGAATGTATGAATGGGTAGATGAATAAATGAATGAATGAAAAAATGAATGAAAGCTGGCATTACTCTACTGGCAAGATTCTGGAAGACAATAAACTCCACAAAGACCATGTCTTATTGAGGTTTGTATCCCTAAAACCTACCAGGAATGACAGTAACTGATAACGATGTTAAGAACTAGAGGGACTCACACACCCCAGACTTGGGTGGTGATGAGCCAGTGGCATCAGCCCCCAGGAGGAAGCTGGTGACAGGTGTTCATGCTGGCTCCTTTTGTGGCGGTACTGTGCCCAGTAAAAAGGACTCCCTTGCAATTAAGGGACCCAGTCCTGCCTTAAGGGCTTCGGGCAAACTGGACTTGTATGGCACGTGGGCCTTTAATTTCTTTTTGAATGAAGAAGCGATGCCTACAGGTGCCCTAGGCATAGAGGCCCCACGATTCCGATGGCAGAGTTGAAGGACAAGTGCAGCTGGCCGGACTGGCCACCCTAGGCAATGAGACAACTAAATCCCTTCCTTGCTAAAGTCCAATTTGTTCCTTGCTAAAGTCCAATTTGTTCCTTACAGCAGCATGTATTCTTCTTTTTTTTTTTTTAATATATTTTATCGATTTTTTTACAGAGATGAAGAGAGAGGGATAGAGAGTTAGAAACATGGATGAGAGAGAATCATCTATCAGCTGCCTCTTGCACACCCCCTACTGGGGATGTGCCCTCAATCAAGGTACGTGCCTTTGACCAGAATCAAACCAGGGACCCTTCAGTCTGCAGGCTGACTGACTCTATCCACTGAGCCAAACCAGTTTCAGCCAGCAGTGTGTATTCTGATATGCCACCGCATAAAAGCAGTTATGAAGTGAGTTCACACATGGGGAGAACAATAAAGAATAAATGTCGCCTGTCAACAACAAATAACAACAAAAAAGAGCCACAAGGACCAAGCCTTTAGTGTGTCCCCACCCTGTTTTTCTGATGGATCATTTGTGTAACAACTCACTCGAATCTACACAAAAATCCTATGGAAGTAGACACACGTTCTGTCCATGTTTCACATAACAGGAAACTGAGGCACAAAAAAGTTGGTAAAAAAAAAAATGCAGTAAAATCCTCAGCGGCGAGGTGATTACAACTGCTTGGCATCTTGCCTCACATGGTGCCGAAAGGTGAAGCAGGGACGGTCAGTGTTTACCATCCATCAGCCCTGTAACCCCCCCCACACACACACACATACTACATCCATGAACACAAATGGATGGACCCCCTCTAGAATAGAAATCTAGACCAACAAGGGTCTCAGAACTTAACAGCCATAAGAGGCACACACAACGCCCACAGCAGCAGCAATAAGAATCCAGCAGCAAAACTATGCAGGCCAGACAGGAGTGGCAAGAAATATTCAAAGTGATGAACAACAAGAACCTACAACCAAGATTACTCTACCCAGCAAAGCTATCATTCAGAATTGAAGGGCAGATAAAAAAGCTTCACAGATCAGAAAAAGCTAAAGGAGTACATCACCACCAAACCAGTATTATATGAAATGCTAAAAGGTATTCTTTAAAAAGAGGAAAAAGAAGAAAAAAGTAAAGATAAAAATTATGAACAACAAATACATATCTATCAACAAGTGAATCTAAAAGTCAAGTGAATTAAAAATCAGAGGAACAGAATAAACTGGTGAATATAATAGAATCAGGGGCATAGAATGGGAGGGGATTAATAATTCTCAAGGGGAAAGGGGTGTCTGTGTGGGGGGTACGGAAAGACACTGGACAAAAATCATATACTTATGGATGAGGACAGGGGGAGAGGGGGTAGGAGGTAAGGGCAGAGGGCGGAGCGGGGACCAGGTGGAGGGGAGCTATGGGAGGGGGGGGGGAGGAAAAACAATTATAATCTAACAATAAAGATTTATTAAACACACACACACACACACACACACACACACACACACACATACCAAAGAATCCATCAGAAAACAAAGCTTAAGGCAAGGCCCCCCGGCAGGGTAGCACCCTCTGCCCTCTGGCCTGGCCTGCGCGTACCTGATGTTTTCATTCAGTGCATAGAGCTCGTTGCTCTGCAAGCCTCCGCCTTTGAAGACGTTGATCACGGCGGTCTGCACGCTGCAGGGACATAAATAGAAGCAAGTCCTGGTTAGAGGATCTGCCTCCCCACAGCACGTCAGCAAACAGCTCAGAGCTGAAGGGGGCTGGAAGGCAAAAAACACACACAAAAAAACACACACACGCACAAAACAACAACAACAACAAACCCACAAAACCACAAACAAACCCTTCCAGGGTTCTTGGAGAGGAGGGAAGACTGAAGTCAAGAGGACCCCCCAAGGCAGCCCTCTCCCCCCACTTTCTCCAGGCCGGCAGCCTTCCTCCCCCCTCACTGGCAGCCCTGCTCATAAAGGGCAGGGGTGGCCTGCCCCGCTGAGCCTGGAGGAACCGGATGGTGCTTTCTGCAAGCAGCGGGGACTTAGATCGGGCACCCCTTCTCCTAGGAGGCTCTGTCCACACAGGGCAGCCTGGGGCTCGTGGGAAATGACAATTCCTTGTCTTGTTTTTTCCTAATGGCACTTTCCTTAGAAGAATCTCACCGGGGCCAAGCTTACTGCCCCCTCGGCTCCCACCCAAGATAATCGCTTAAAGTAAGGTGACCAGACATCCCGATCTTTAACCATTTGTTCCGTGTCCCGTGGCGTTTTAAAAAAATCCCGATATTTGGTTAAAGATCGGGACTGTCCCGCCCAAAGCCGGATGTCTGGTCACCTTACCTTAAAGGGCCACCGTCAAGTCTCCACTCCACCTTCTCTGGGACCCCAATATTCCCACAAAAAGCGGATTGCGAGGGTCTTAGGCTTTTTTTCAAGAACAAGGACCCAGTTAACCTCAAAACATTTCAGAGCCCTCCCCCTCCCTATCATGAGAGCTGCATTCACTGAGAAAGTCCATAACCAGCCAAACTTCTGACCCCAAGGCAGCCAGGGATACTCCCAGGAAACTCCGCCTTTCGTTTATTGGGAGAGTGAGTGCAGAGCTTTGGAAAATAGCGGCCACAGGAGCGCAAGACAGGATACGGATGCTCTGCTCTGCTTGTGCAAAAGGTAGGCGAGACACCTTACAAAGAAGCCCCGTGTTGCCTAAACCGGTTTGGCTCAGTGGATAGAGCGTTGGCCTGCGAACTAAAAGATCCCAGGTTTGATTCAAGTCAAGGGCATGTACCTTGGTTGCGGGCACATCCCCAGTAGGGGGTGTGCAAGAGGCAGCTGATCAATGATTCTCTCTAATCGGTGTTTCTAACTCTCTATCCCTCTCTCTAAAAAAAAAAAAAAAAAAAAAAATCAATAAAATATACTTAAATAAATAAATAAAAATAAAAAAGCCCCCTGTCTCCTCTCCTAGCACCTGCGGCTCACTCGTCACATGATGATCTCTGAGCTTTTCACATACACATCTTACCTCCCCAAATGGGTAGAAGGTGATTATGTTTATGGTCCCACCCATGGGTCCTCTCTGAGTGGGAATGTGACAAATGAGCATCCACAGCCACTGTCAGTCTCCACCCCCGGTCCAGGGCTAGGTAACTGGCTCTGCAGGCCGGGAGGCCCCAGGGATCCAAGCTGCTTCTGCTGAAACAAGGACAGCTGGGACACAGTCCCTATAGGAAGGCATCCTCTCTTCCTCCATGGCCCTGAAACGATGGCCTTCTGATGCAGAGATCTGGGAAGCAGCAGAAGCTAAGCCTGGCCCCGGCGGCCCCACCCCACCCATGGCCGCCTCCCCTACCTGTTCCAGGCCGAGTTGGAGCTCAGCTGCAGGGCCTGGCGAGCGGCCTGGAAGCGGGGCAGGTCGCTGAGCACCGGGGAGCTCAGGAAGCGCGGCCTGGGCCTGCGGAAGGAGCCCATCCTGTGGACCTCGGTGGGCAGGCTCGGGGCGAGGCCGCGGGTCATAAGTCCAGGTGCGGGGACGGCTTCTCCTCTGGACCAGAAAGTTCCGGCTGCCCACGGAAAGGGCTTCTCCCAGGGCGGTTGCCTTCAGGCTCTTGGGTTTTCTTAAAACCACAAATTGAGCCGACACCTGAAAAGAGAGGGCAGCGTTTATTGAAAACTCCTGGGCCATGTTTTGGAGGCAGTCAGCTGGGACTTTCGAGCCAAATGATCCCAAAAATAACTCCAGGACCACCCCTCCCCACTCCGTGCCCCCCCATAACATCTCTACCCAGGGTGCCATCCAAAAGTTTTAACAGGTGTTGGTTTAAACAATGTGACCACCCCACAGTAGGAAGGCAGTGCCAAGGGGCCAGTTGGAGACCAGCCTGACAGAAAAGTGATTTCTAGCTCAGCTGGCCAGGCTCAATCCCCAGTGGGTTATGTGCAGGAGGCAGCCAATCAATGATTCTCTCTCATCTTCAATGTTTCTATCTCTCTCTCCCTCTCCCTTTCTCTGTCTGAAATATATATATAAAAGGCTAAGTAACAGTCCCACCCTCCAACCTCCAGTACATATGACACACACTGACCACTAGGGGGCAAATGATCAACGCAGGATCTGCTGAGCAGCAGTGACTTGGCAGTGGCGGTTCTCAGGTGACCCACCCCGGAACCAGAGAGGAGGGAGCCCCTTTCCTCATGGGGGCATGCAATTCCACCTTCAGCCGTGGGTTATGTTGTTGCTGGGCCACTGTCAGCCCCAAATCTGGTTTACTGCACACTTGCATCTGTGTTCCACACCCTATACAACAGCAACTTTGCAAAGTGCCCTGTCACACTCCAGGACCCCCTCAGGGGATGTCGGTAGCCCAATCCCTGCAGGCCAGGCCGAGGTACCCCACCAGCAGGAGGGACTCCACTCACTCAGCAGTCACCCTTTGAGCTGTGGCACCACCCCAGGTGCGGCTGGCCAGGGAGGAACCACGATAAGTTGGTTCCAGGGCATGTCAGGTCATCTTGCCCAGTCCTGCCCTGCTGGCCACCACCTGGGTCCGCCTGCGTTAGTTCCTGCCCCTCCACCCTATTCTCGGAATGAGTTGATAGGGTCGAAAATGTATCAATGAATGCTGGGGGAGTCATCCTGTATGCCTGTTCTCTGTAACCCCACAAGTGCTCCCCGAATTTGGAGAAATCTATACCAATCAATGAATGAGGCAAAGAGCCCAAAAACCACAGACACCCCTTCGGAGCCTAACACTGGCTGGCTTGGGGAGTTAACATGCTCAGTATTAAAAGAGGTTTATTTCCCGGCCCTTCTTTACATGGGCCTGCTAAATGCAATTCCCCTGTGTCATTACAGGTTATTAACTCCCTTTACGAGAATCTTAAACTTGGGGTGATGGAACCACCTCCCGCTCGGTGGCAGCTGGACGGGGAAGTAGAGAGGTAAGTTGGATGGATTCCTCCACGTGTTCACCTCCCGGCTGCCTGACACCGGGGGTCACAGGGCTGGCTCCTGTCCGCCCTCCTTCCCCCACTTCTCAGCTGGTGTCCCCCAGGCCTCCCACGCCAAGCCACGTGCATAGCCAGCAAGGCCCATGGGCAGCCCCCTCCACACAGATGACCCTTTTCCATAATTTTCAACCAAAAGGGACGATGCCTGAGGCTCCCACCACCTACACACCACACACACACACACACACACACACACACAGACACACACACAGAGGAACTCAGGAGAAGCTGCATCTGACTCAAGCTGTGCCTGCAGAACCAGCCGCCCCCAGGTCCTGGCAGGCAGAAGGCACCCAAAGCTGTCTTTCTTCCTGCCGCCACCCCAAGATGGCCTGAAGGAAAGAGCTGATGCATCCCACACCCACCCATTGTGGTGCTGGCCCGCCGGCACAGGCTTGTCCTAGGCCCAAAGGTGACAGGTCAGAAAGCAGAAGCTAGATGGGGCCTCGGAGTGCTGCCCACCCAGGCCCCCACTGACAGGGAATCAGAGAAACCTGTCAAGGCCACCAACGCAAGCCCCCTGACTCCTAATCTCCAGCCCCACCTAGGCCATTCTATAAACTCCTTGAAGGCAGGCATGGGGACTTCGTCTCTGAAGCACGCTGCTGCTTAAGGCAAGGAGGAAAGAAAGGAGAGTGACGGGGGGCCTCAGCCACCTGCCCGACAGGACGACTGACAAGCACTGTCACAGCAGCTAAACTTCACCTTCACCAAACCCCGCTGGGAGATCAGAGACATGAAGCAAGCGGCCAGAAGTCACACAGCTTATGAGTGGCAGATCACGGACCGGTGCCTAGATTTGCCTAATGCTACAGCCCACTTCCCCCAGTCAGGCCACCAAGCTCAGCCAGGACATCGGCATCGCGCCTACCAAGTTAGTCAGGAACACTCAAGTCTGGAGATTTCCTATCAAAATAGGAATCTCGCGCCCATGAGATAGAGAAACAGGCCTAAGGGACCCTCTGACCACTTCTGATGGAGGCAAGAGGAGCCGATGAAAGGAGAAAGCAGGGATGGCCTAAGTCTGACACCCACTCCTCACTAGCTGTGTGGCCTGGGGCAAGTTACTTGACCTCTCTGAGCCTCTGTCTCCTCCTGCATGAAATGAGCATGCTCACAGTGGTTGTAGTCGAATAAAACATATTTGTAAAGCACCTACAACTGTGCTTGGCAAACAGCCGGCGCCACATCACTGCTTGTTTCATAAATAAAATAAACAGCTATTTCTAAATCTCCAAGCAAGGTCATTAGTGGGACTCTGGCAATACTGCCTCCTGCTCACGGCGACCTCAGCAAGACCTCGAACATATTTGGGAGCAGGCAAGGTCGCTGGCCCCAGGAGTGGTCACAGTGCTGTACTGGGACCTCCCCGCCTCAGGCCTATGATAACTCACGTGTTATTGACTGACCCTTCCTCCAGTCTCTCTAGCATGTTCCTTAGTTTCAGAGTTTTTCTTTTCGTGGCGGTTTTTTAAAATATATTTTTATTGATTTCAGAGAGGAAGGGAGAGGGAGAGAACTAGAAACATCAGTGATGAAAGAGAATCACTGATTGGCTGCCTCCCTCATGCCTCCTACTGGGGATCAACCTGCAAACCTGCAACCCGGGCATGTGCCCTGACCACCAGGAATCGAACTGTGACCTCCTGGTTCATAGGTAGACGCTCTACCCCTGAGCCACGCAGGCCAGGCAGTTTCGGAGTTTTTTCCACACATCATCACGCTTCTAAAATTTACTCTGACCCTGTAAAAGCAGGTGGAGCAGAATTCTGTCAAATTAGGAAACTGAGGCTCAAACCGGCTGAGGGACGTGGCCAAACTGGGAAGCACTGGGTCCCAGAGTCAGACTCAGGTGCAAGTCCTCCAGCCTCAGGCCTGGCCTGCCACGTGTGCCCCGCCAGGCAGGCCTCCTTCTCCCCCTGTGTATTTTTAAATATTTTCATGAGGAGATATACTTTAAAAGGAGGTTATACACTCATAAGCACATACACCTCAGATAATCCTCAAGCTACCGCCAACTTAAGAAATAGAATGCTTTCTTAGAAATAGAATGTTCTTCTATTTTTCTGATAACAGCAAACGTGCTGACTTTTTATAACAAATGGAAACAGTCACAGAAAGCTACCACATACAGAACAGAAGGTCTCCCTCTGGCCATGTCATCACGTAGGAAGCTCTGGTCAGAGCTTCCTGAGACGACAGAGATGTTCTCTGTCTGTGTGTTTAACCCCGTGGTTGGCAAACTGCAGCTCACAAGCCACAGGCAGCTCTTTGGCACCTTGAGTGTGGCTCTCCCACAAAATACCACGGCCTGGGAGAGTCTATGTGAAAGAAGTGGCGTTAGAAGAAGTTTAAGTTTAAAACAGGTGGCTCTCCAAAGAAATTTCAATCGTTGTACTTATGGTTGATATTTGTCTCTGTTGACTAATGAGTTTGCCGACCACTGGTCTAACCCAATAGCCAGGAGCCATATGTGGCTGCTGAGCTCTTGAAATATGGTTTCACGGTTGAAGGACTGAATTTTAATTTACTTTTTAATAGCCATACTCAAGTGCACATATAATATTCCAATAAAAATGGGTAATTTGTTCTTTCCTCTTAATAATACACCATGGATGTCTTCCCATATCTCTTGCTATTCATTTATTAATACCTACTTCATTATTTTTAACTGGATGCCCAGTGCATGAAATTCATGCACTCAGGGGGGTCCCTCAGCCCAGCCTGTGCCCTCTCGCAGTCCAGGAGCCCTCGAGGATGTCCAACTGATGGACATTCTTATCGCTGCTGTAGAGCCGGAGAGGCTCTTGCCAGCCATGAGCCCGGGTTGTGGCCGAGTGGCACCGCCCATCCTCCCTCATGGGAATGCACTGAGAATATCTGCCCCCTGGTGGTCAATGCACATCATCGTGACTGGTTGCTCTGCAGTTTGCCGACCACAGCCCTACCAGGTTTGGCTCAGTGGACAGAGCATCGGCCTGTGGACTGAAAGGTCCAAGGTTCGATTCCAGTCAAGGGCACATGGCCGGGTTGTGGGCTCTACACCCCCCCCCCCCCCCGGTCAATGGTTTTCTTATCACTGATTTTTCTATCCACCTTTCCCTCTCCCTTTCTCTCTGAAATTAATAAAACATATTGGGGAAAATTAAAAATAAAGAAACTACGGTCTTTTGGTAGGTGTTCTCGTTTGAAAGACCAAGGCGGTTAACGTTTAGGAAAACGTGCTTCTAAAATGATTTCAAGGTTAAGTTTTTGGTGCCTAAAGGTTAAGTTTTTGCTTCCATTACCTGGAAAGCTGGGGTCCTGGGCTTGTGACGCTGTGGCTGTCACGGGGTGACGGGGCCAGATGGCTGCCCTCGCCCTCCAGGCTCACTGCGCAGGGGTGTCCTGAGACCCTCCGCGCTCAGGACCCAGGATGTGTTTCCTGGAGAAAAAGAAGGTGCGGTCTTGCTTTCTCATCCCAGCTGCCCGGGCCAGGGCACAGGGAGTGGGCACAGCCAGCAGGC